TTTAAAATTTTTATAAATAAAATTTAAACATATGTTTAATATATCATATAATTTTTTACAGAAAATGTTCGAGTGAACCCCTCACTACCCTCTAAATCCGCTCCTGTCCTAGCCCTATTTTTTTTTTTTTTAAAAAAAAAACAAGAAAATTATAAGTGGTAAAATAAATCATTAAAAAAAAAAGAAAAATTTTTTAGACCATATACAACTAATTTTCAACTTCTTCTCCGCAATTCAATCTATGGTTTAAAATAGGTAGAATGTTTCCATTGTGCCAATTTTTTTACACTATAAAAAGGCTTCAACATTCACTTTACAAAATCATAAATTGAAGTATTACTCCAAAATAATTTTTAAAAAAAGAAAAAAATTTAAAAAAAAAGAAAAAAAAATGGATATGAAAATCAAGTTTGTTTATTTTGGATTGGGTGTGTTATTTCTAGCACATTTTGGAGAATCTCAAAATGCAACTTTTGATATAACCAAATATGGTGCCACAGCCAATGCTGATATTAGTGAGGTAAGTCATGCATTTTTTTTTCCTCTCATTATTTTGTTGATTTCAACCTACTTTCATCAAAAAAAAAAAATCACTTTGTTTTTAAACGATGAATAAAATAAGTAAGTTATTACCATCGAAGGATGTGGTCATGTGGCCTAGCTACATTCAGTTGAATCTCATTCGCTTGAAAAGTATAATGCATGAATTAAGACAAAAATGATTATGAATCGTTGAATGTGAGTTACATATATAAAGACAAAATTGTCTTTAGGACATAGATTCAAGTAATATTTTTGAAATACTCCCTTTTATTAATATTTTTGACTCAGTCTCGATCGATGTCTAGCGATTATGAAATGTAAGATTAAGTTTACAATCAAATCACAAAATTTATATGTCTGAGTGTCATATGACATAATCAAATTACACAAAAGTTGATCAGGATATCTTCAAAGCTAATATTATTACAACATTATTATAATGTTTTTAGGCTGTTGGAAAAGCTTTTAAAGAGGCATGTGCATCAACAAGTCCAAGTACAATTGTGATCCCAAAAGGAACATTCCAAATGAACCAAGTGCTATTAGAAGGACCATGCAAAGGCCCTATTGAACTTCAAATTCAAGCCATTTTGAAAGCACCAACAGATCCTAATGCAATTAAAACTGGTGAATGGTTAACAGTAAACAAACTTGATTTCTTCACAATGTCTGGTGGTGGAACACTTGATGGTCAAGGTAAAGAAGCATGGGAATGCAAAAAGTCAAAAAAGTGCACCAAGCTTCCCAATGTAAGTTTCGTGTTTCTGTTCGATCAAACTTTTAAAATCTATTTTTTTCACGAGCAAACGCGTACTAACACTATTTTTGTGTTTTTATTTTGGTGTAGAATTTGAGCTTCAACTCCCTCACAAATTCCATAATCAAGGACATAACAACATTGGATAGCAAAGCATTCCATGTGAATGTTAACCAATGCAAGAACTTAACATTCACCAAATTCAACGTCAGTGCTCCGGCTGATAGCCCGAACACTGATGGAATCCACGTGGCGAGAGCAAGCTCTGTGAATATCACAGAGTCTTCTTTCTCCACGGGAGATGATTGTATCTCCATTGGCGATGAAACGGAACAACTTTACATCACTAAAGTCACTTGTGGACCTGGTCATGGTATTAGTGTTGGTTCCCTTGGTGGAAATCCTGGTGAAAAGCCAGTGGTTGGTGTTTTTGTTAAAAATTGCACTTTAGTTAGCACTGATAATGGTGTTAGGATCAAGACATGGCCTGCTTCACATCCTGGTGTTGTATCTGATATACATTTTGAAGATATCATTGTGCAAAATGTTAGCAACCCTATTGTCATTGATCAAGTTTATTGCCCAAGTGGAAAATGCAACAAAGACGTAAGTATATATCGCTCGATCTACTAGTTCAGATGATTGAGATTTTCACATTCTTTCGCATACTACATGGATACTTTTACAAAAATAACCACTTTTTGCTGCTTTTATTTAAAAACTAGCCACTTTTTTAAAAACTTAGGCCATTGGTCTAAAGTTTTCAAAATGTGTCCCAATGAATTACATTTAATCTATTGTGCATTGTTTTTCTTCTCTTAATAGATATAGTTGACCACTTTATCTAGCTAATTTGCAAAAAGATAACCACTTTTGTCTCGCCAGAGTCAATCGTTTTTCCAACATCAAATCGTTGGTCTAAAGTTCAAAAGCGGCCCTACCCACCCACTATACACATACACACACACACACTATACCTATTATGCATACTCTTACTTACTTATACCTCTAAGTCACACGTACAACGATAACCTTTATATTCGATATTTCACGATCCTTTTTTTTGTAGTTGCCTTCACAAGTGAAGATTAGCAAGGTGTCTATCCAAAACATAAAAGGTACATCAAGAACTCAAAATGCAATCTCACTAACTTGTAGCAAAGGCTCACCATGTGAAGGTGTTGAAGTTGGAGATGTTGACATTTCATATAGTGGTAAAGAAGGGCCAGCAAAATCAAGTTGTGAAAATATTAAGCCAACTTTTAAGGGAAAACAAACTCCAGCTGTTTGTTCAGCTGGTGCTGATGCTCCTGCTCCCGCCGCCGCCGCTTCTTAAATGAATAATTAAAAAAAAATAACGATTTTGAATTAAAAAAAATCTCGATGTTTGAGATTTTTATTGTAAGTTTGATTGATTGAGTTGATGTATGAATTGAAATGTTAAATTTATCGTATGTTTACACATCCTTTTTAAAATATTATTCACTTTAGCCTTTTTAGTATCTTTTACTTCTTTATATTCTAAATCTCGACCGTTTAGATGAAAATTCCGATATTGATTATGATGATCTCATATGATGGTAAACCAAATACAGACACTGTATCTAATTTATACTACTAGAAATCAGTCGATTTTCATCGAATGAATACGTTAGATTAAAAAACACATGTTGAAGATGTTTTTTTGTTTGGACAAAATATCTGCGTTTTCCTGCTTTGGGCTGGTTTGAATTTGAAAATGTACTCATTTTTCCTGCGGGACAAACTGAATACATTGCCAACGTCTTAATGGACGCTCATGAAAAATTTGCACATTTCATTTCAGAAATTTTGAATCACAAAAATTTTATGGAATATATAGCACATAAAAATCAGCAAAATCTACGTTTACCTGCTTTGGAGCTCGTTTGAACTTGAAAATTCACTCGTTTTCCCAGTAGAACGAATTTGATACATTGCCAACGTCTTAAGGGACGTCCATGAAATTTTTTGGTCATTTCGTTTCAAAAATTTTGATCACCAAAATTCAATGGATTATAGCACACGAAAATTTAAAAAATCTGCGTTTACTTGCTTTGGACTCATTTGAACTTGAAAATGCACCCGTTATTCCTGCGGGACGAACTAGATACATTGTCAACATCTTCACAGATGTCCATGAGAAATTTTGGCCATTTCGTTTCGAGAATTCCGAATCACAAGAAGTGGTTATAACACACGAAAATCGGTTAAATCTGCGTTTACCTGCTTTTAGGCTTATTTGAATTTGAAAATGCGACAATTTTTCCTACAAGACAAATTGGATACATTGTCAATGTCTTAATGAACATCCATGAAAAAATTGGTCATTTCGTTTCACGAATTCTGAATCACAAAAAATCCATGGACTATAGTATAAGAAAATGAGTAAAATTTGTGTTTACCTTCTTTGGGGCTCGTTTGAACTAAAAAATGCGCCGTTTTTTTTGTAGGACGAACTGGATATATTGCCAACGTCGTAATGGACACCCATGAAAACTTTGAGCCATTTCGTTTCGTGAATTTCGAATCACAAAAATTTCATGGACTATAGCAAACGAAAATCCGCGAAATTTGTGTTTACCTTCTTTGGGTCTCGTTTGAACTTGAAAATACGTCTGTTTTCCCCGCGGGATGAAATTGATACATTGCCAATGTCTTAACGACATCCATGAAAAATTTCGGCCATTCTATTTCAGGATTTCTGTATCACATAAATTTCATGAACTATAGCACACGAATATCGATAAAATCTGCGTTTACGTGCTTTAGGGCTCGTTTGAACTTGAAAATCCACCTATTTTCCCTATAGGTCGAACTGGATACATTGCCAGCGTCTTAACGGACGTCCATGAAAATTTTTGGCCATTTCATTTTGGCAGTTCCGAATCACAAAAATTTCATGGACTATAGTACATGAAAATCGACAAAAACTTCATTTAACTGCTTTGGGCTTGTTTGAACTTGAAAATGCACTCGTTTTCCCTGCGGGACGAACTTGATACATTGCCAACATCGTAATGTACGTCCATGAATAATTCCCAAAAACTATTAAATTTATTTAAGAATTATAAGGTTCAACAATGTTAACTAAAGAATCTAGCAAGTAATTTATATAAGATCTGTTAAACAAATTCATAGCATTGGCGTGCTTTTGGCGTATAATCAGATACTTAAGGCGTAAGTCTTACGTAACTAAGCCCCGCACTTTTAAGTCTAGGGGCATTTTGCTATGGCCGCACCATAGATCCAGTCCTACCAGAGTTTTTTTAAAACAATGATGCCTACTATTATGTCTAGAAGCAATTTTTCTCTATTTTCAAAGTCTCTTCATTTCTTTCAGATTTGATTTTGTCTATCTAAGAACATACATTATAAATGCCCATCTGATAAAAAGATATCAATATGTTGATTTATATAACATTTTCAGTTTTCAACAACTGAGCAAAATTGACAGCAAAATGTTTCATATTCCTAGGTTTTGTTACATAAACCAATGAATAATACATTTTCTTCTCTAGAATAAACTTGGGTATTGTTCTTCTAGTGCTACAAAACCACTGGGGATAAAAACAACTTGTTCATAAACATAATGTTGATCTGCTTTGTTTGCTAAAGCTTTTGCCTAGATCACCAGTGATCTGCAATTCAGCTTTGCCTGAACATATCAGTAGTGCAATGATTCGACGTTTAGCGCACAATAGTTCTGCTGTTTTTCTTTGTAACAGATTCAAGAATCTTGTACATCCATCCATCTAGCATGCCTATTACACAAAACAAATACCATGTTCGTCAGTATGTTCGACTACATGTTGAAGATCTCTGACAGGCTTATAACAGTTGGATTTCTTCTGCAAAAAACAATTTGCGAGGGAGGGAAATGCCAGCCAAGAAAAAGACTTTAAGATGATATAAGCCAAAAGCATCAAGTGATTTGTCAATTCATAACCGGTAAGACTTCTTAGTAAGTGGTAATGAAGAGAAACTATCCCAATCCAAATCCATCATTGCGATAATATCAGCATAAAAAATGGCATTCTACTTTGAAAACAGGAAATGACATCATAACCTAGTCACTCAAAATTTCTCACACCAGACATTGCTCAACATTTTGCGTGCACCTGGGGAAATGATTTTCACTTCTTCATGGATATTCAAGTCAAGAGCAATTGGTTCAATTAAATGAGGAACATTTCGACTAGTAGTGTACAACAAATTATCAGGGAGTTACGGCAAACCTGTCAAGGCAAATGTACCACCCAAAACTGCACAGAGCCGAGTGATGAAGTGCAGAAAACTGCGACGTTCTTCTCTAATGGTCACGGTAATTGGTGACAGATCATATAAGAAGTATACAGCTGCATAAAGCGGCAAAAGACACTCAGTGAAAGATGAAATACAGCAAGAGGAAAAGGGAGAAGGAGAGCAGAGACACACCTGGCCATGTCCGTTCAAAATCATGGATGGGAGAAAAGTACTCCGTTACAGAAAATTGATTTGTTGGTAAAACTTCTTTTGATATATATCTATACTCAGTTGGAACAACCTACATGACAAAAAACAGAACGTAAAAATATGGAAGCACGAGAACACATCCAAAAGAAAAAAATCATTGTGATTCAACACTTATCTTCCCAAAAAAAATCACAAGGAAATCCAATTAAGCCAACCTGGATGCATGTTTCAACTAATGTTCCTTGTCAACACTGTTTGATCGTGTGAACCGTCACATCTAGTCTAATCTTGTTATAAAGAAGACATACCTATTTCAAATCTACAAAACACTTCCTCACATCTTCATTTTTTACCTTTATCCAAACACATAGAAATAATTATGTTGAGTGGCAGTAAAACTTGAACAAAGCCCTCTTTATTTTGTAAATTGTCCCATCTAGGAGTTTAAGTTTCTAGAGAGGAAACACTTTATTTGTTTATTTTCAGATTCGCCACCCTAAATGGTGAGGTTACTGGTCCAACGAATAAAAT